TTTATTTCTACAGAAATGCAAAAAAGGAAGTTTAGACAAAAGGGAGACAGGAAGGGCAGGAAGTGAAGTAAAGAATTACAGGAAGCATGAGACAAGTCAGGCAGGAAATAGCGAAGAAAGGAACTATAAAAACAAAAACAAAAACATATTCACATCGTCAATGGCATACAAGTTTTCAGAAATACTCTGGGGTTTTGTTTAAATCAGTTTATTCATAATTATATTATTTAGTTATTTACAGTATGATATAAATGTAATAGCGTGCAGTTTAGGACTTTTAATATCTCGAATAAAAAAAGATTATGATTGATACTGCAATAGTGATTGAAATACTTTCTTTGTTGAAAATTAATTATTTTAATTTATGTTTTTGCTATAAAGTAGGCTTTTGGATTTATGCTACAGAGATACTGAAAGAAATTGTCAGAATTTAGACCNGTCACCGCAAACTAGACAGAGCGAGAAGGTCAAATCTATTCTTATCAATAGCTCTTCAACTTCTTCAACATTTTTTTCCAGAAACCATGTTTTTATAAAGTTTAACCCAAAACTCAGAGACATCAAACTAAGTTATAAAATGTCGTTTTCTAAATCTGTTGATGGTGGAATGAGAAAGAGAGAGAGAGAGAATCCTAGAATTTTCCATTTAGCTCTTTCAAACAGCTTTTTATAAATTTGTTTTTATTATTATATTATTATAATATGCTGCTTGTCCATTGAACATGATAATTGTGACATTGAACCTTTTCTATTTCAAGTTGCACTCAAAAGGCTTTTAAAATATGGTCTGTTTTTCACCTTAAAAATGACAAGAATATTGGATAGAAAATTTTAATTGTATTCAATAAATCATAAGATTAAAAAAAGGTAGACTAGAGATTTATAAACTATGAATAAGATTATTTGTAGTATCACGAATGAATGATATTTCAATTAGATTTCATGGCGATGCCTTTATCCCCCTTTTAGTGATTTTAATGTGACTGTTTTTAATCGTTAATGTCTCCAAAAGAGTATACTGAAAACTAGGTTTACAGCCCGTCTATTATATAAATGCTACCCCCAATGTTATACCTTGCTACCCCCCTCTCCCCTCCCCTTATTTAAAAATACAATCGCCCGAGAAATTACATATTCTAGGTTATAGGGTAGGTAAGATAGATCACAAGATGTTATCCAATCATTAAGAAATCACCATAAAAGCTTTTGTTGGTAAGATAAAAAAAAACCTTTTGTCATCTACTTTATCATTGTTCATTGATATGTAAAAAGTTGCTCATGCGTTCTAAAAACAATTTGAAACAATGGTTCAATTATTTCAAAAAATATAATATCAAATATAATAAGAGTCTAAGTATGTCATAAGTAAAATATTATTCAGATAATTAAATCATAAAAATAAAATAACGTTTGTAATTGTTATGAAGAAGAGTCAATTTTGACGCGCAAAATTTAAAAGTTTTGCCGTACAAGAGACATGAATGGATCGGTATTATTATTTTTCTGAGAGGAGGGGGGAATGTCCCTGAATTAAAATTAGTTTCATTATATCATAACTATCAAAACCATTTTTAAGATATTTTATATTTGAATTACCAACAAAATTATATTTAAAACTAACGCCTATGCTATGCAGGCTTTCAAGCATACTCGTCAAAATCTTATAGAAACGCCCCTTCTGATTCGGAAGGTGATTGGATTGGGCGGATATTTTAGCTTTTTATTGTTAATAAGTTATTGGATGGGCCCTCCCATCTTGGGACAAAAATCGTAATAAATCTTATCAGGCCTTATTATCCGGCAAATTGAAAAGAATTTCATATTTTACTATTTCTAAACAAATATTTGATACTTTTCAGAAATGGATTGATTCTATATAATTGAAATTTCCAAGATTTATAAAGAGATTTGTAAAATTCTAAAAATGAAAAAAAATACCTTTTCAGATTTTTTTTGGCTTAGCATGAAACCAATATTAATTTCAGAATGAAAATGAGTATTTTACACTGTTAATTGTTCAAAATAATTATTTTGTTCATAATGTTCATCTATCAAGTTCAACAGGTACGTGTTCAATGTTCTAATTGTTCGGATGTTCAAAAAAACGTGGTTTTTTCTAGTGCCTAAATCATTTTTTTCTGGAATACATTTTTAATTAGAAAGAGAACGTGTTAAATTTTTACTATTAAACTTTTTTATTAAATGAACTTTTTTGATTTTTAAACTTTTCCTATTCAACCTGTAGACAAATTTATTCTATTTACTCTGTAGACAAATTTATCCTATTCACCCTGTAGAAAAATTTATCCTATTCACCTTGTAGACACATTTATCCTATTCTCCCTGTAGACACATTTATCCTATTTACCCTGTAGACACATTTATCCTATTCTCCCTGTAGACACATTTATCCTATTCTCCCTGTAGACACATTTATACTATTTACCCTGTAGACACATTTATCCTATTCATCCTGTAGACAAATTTAACCTATTCACCCTGTAGACACATTTATCCTATTCACCCTGTAGACACATTTATCCTATTCACCCTGTAGACACATTTATCCTATTCACCCTGTAGACACATTTATCCTATTCTCCCTGTAGACACATTTATACTATTTACCCTGTAGACACATTTATCCTATTCATCCTGTAGACAAATTTAACCTATTCACCCTGTAGACACATTTATCCTATTCACCCTTTAGACACATTTATCCTATTCACCCTGTAGACAAATTTGTCCTATTCACCCTGTAGACAAATTTATCCCATTCACCCTGTAGACAAACCTATCCTATCCACCCTTTAGACAAATTTATCCTATTCACCCTGTGGACACATTTATCCTTTTCACCCTGTAGACAAATTTAAGTCGTTGCTCTAAATGCAAATTTGCATAATTAGAGAGCTCATACAAAATGCATAGTAGTTAAAATTTTTAAATTAAATGTTTAAAATAACAAATAGTTTGATTAGGTCGTAAACTCATAGAAATATTACATCGTCCCTCTGACATAAGGGAATGTCTCCGAGAACCTTAAAAAGAATATCATCAACACTTTTATAAAATATAATTTAAAAATGTATTTGATCAACGGACTACAATCCTAATCAGAAAAATTAATTTAGAAATATTTAGACGACTTTACAATCTAATCTTACAAATATGATTGATGAAACGATAATCACAAAAAAACCCTAGTCCTGCCATTTTAAAAATTGTAATCTGCTTTTTTTTGAGCATTTATAATTTCCAGATATATAGATATAAAGTCGTCTGATTAGCTGTCAATTAATTCTGGGTCGTAATGACTGTATAAGGAACAATGGGAAGGATTTGTCAATTTTATATCAAGGAAAGAATTTTTTTAAAGTTTTTGATGGATTTTTTATCTGTCCAGTACAGCCGCGACTGGGAATTTTCAATTTTACAAAGTAAATGATAGATATCTCTATTTTCGACACAGATTTGAATGTTACTGGGCATGGGGTACACTTGGTTTTATGATATTCTTAAAAATATGTTTTAAAGGTACTAAGTGTATTTTCAACTTACCCTCCGTGCAAAGATGTCACTACCCAATTCACAACGGTACCCTTAAACTCTTTATCTGATCAATAATGTGGAAGATACAGTCGGTTTTCTAAGTTTAATAGTGTTTAATTCTGATAGTTTCTGTATGTTTAGCTGCAGTATAAATGCGCAAGTAATTTTAGTTAAGAAACCACAATTGAACATAATCAGTTTTCAAAACTATATAGATTGGTATCTAATTCATACTTTATCAGAAAATGATTTGTAGGGTACCGTTGTAAATCTATGGTTGTGAAGTTGCATGGAGGGTCACTTGAAATTACGCTTACAATTCCTTTTCTTCACCACGTCCATGGTTGGTAATGTAAAATGGCCATCATTCTAAGCTTGATGGTAATGTAACTGCTTATCAATGTTGATTAATTCCGACGTCTTGGTATGAATAACTAGACTTTATCTTCGATATTAACTTTTAATTTTTGCTCTTATANACCAGAACATGAATTACTGAATTATCCGCTCCTGGGATCCGGATCCACAATATTCGGATCAGATTATCAACCCCACCCCCTCCCACACACATCTTAAACATTTAATATTGTGTATAATTAACTGACCAAATGCTGAAGAAATAAGTTTGAGTTTAGGTATTTCAACAAAAATGAAAACGAACTGAGCACACGAATTCCAAAATTTATCTTACTTTACTTTAAAATATTTCAAAACTAGTTCAAAAAGTCAAAGTTAGTAAAATTAAGGGTTTTAGCATCAGGTTGACAAATATACGGATTATTAGAGTTTGTGGAAAGTGTTAATTTTTAAAGTATCTGGAATTCCAGGGTTAGATAAAAATAAATTTAGAACTTAATTCATAATCTCCATCATATATATGTTTATCTTAAATTTCACGTGACTCTCCATGCAAAGATAGCAATGCCCGATTTACAACGCGGTATCCTTGAAAGCTTTTTCTGATGAAGTACGAATTAGATATCAATTTTTTTGTTTCTTTAAACTGTTTATTTTCAATTGCGGCTTCTCTGCGAAAGTGATTTGCGCATTTCTTGCTAATAAGGAGCAATGGAGAAATAAACGCTTACTAAGTTTTTCTAATATTTTCCACATTTTTTTATGAGATTTTATGAGATTAAGGTTTCAAGGGAACCGTCAATTTTTAGTCTGTAGGTTCCTCATTGTTAAGACTTGTTAGGATGGAATGCGTCAGCTAGAAATGTCAACATTCATGTGACACATTTCATCTTGTCTTTGTGTCGTACGCATGTTTAAGCATTCAAGAATACGCAGACAACTAACGGCGTCATCGACCCTTAACATTTACAAGTGTGAATATAAAGTTAGAATATAAAATTTAGACAATTTATTTAACAATTAAACAATTAAAAACATTGTTTAGTTTTCTTTTAAGTAATCTTTGAGTTAAAAAAATTTGTCTTTAAAAAAAATTAATTTGTTCTAATTCATGAAAAAAGAAATCCGCTCCCAATTAAAAACAGAACTCTTCTAAACTTTTGTCAGACCAGCATTAAGGAGGATTTTGTCGTTTGTCGACCGTTGTGACTTTTTATATTTAGGGACATAACTTACTTCTTTAGTCCCTTTTGACTGATTCTGTGTCTGCGGCTTAAATTCTTTAAATTCGACCTCTGGGTTGTCAATCTAAGACAGCATTCTATTTCTATTCCAAACTCTTGATTATAAGATACCATTTATAGATTTTAGAATTTGGGAATCATGGATTGAATTCAATAAGGGAATTTATGACAAGGTGTATAATTGAGAACATTTTTGCACACGTGAACTGGCCCGATCTATACTCCAGTTTTAAAATAAGAATTCAAGCATTTAGTCAATACGCCTGCAGGCAGATTTATTGCAAAAATCATCTTTTTTATAAAGTATTAGTTTGTGAGCAAATTAACGGCCTTACAGCATCCTTAATTACATCTTTGCATTTGGTTCGTAGACACTTTTGATGCTTGAACAATTGAATTTTTATATTCTCAAATATCAAAAGCATTTGCATGTACCTTGTCGCTGCAGCTTTACATTTTATTAATTTCTTTGCCTAGATCTATATTAGCAGTTAAAGAGCGTATGTTGAATAATAAAGACCTTTAAAAACCTTCAGCTCGTCCTTAAAATGGACTATAGACTATAAACGTAATATAAAAAATATCCACTTGAAGAGTGGCATGCCTTATTCACAACCGTACCCTTTTAAATCTTTTAAATAAATATATAGGGGAAGATATCATAGGTTTTCCATTCTTTGACTCTGCTAAAATCCGCAATTAATTCTTATAAAGAAGCCAATGGTCCCATAAAAGCATAGAGTAATAAAACGAAGAGGTGAAGCTTAGCTCAGATGTACACAACCGACCTGTCTATTAATTAATTAATGAGCTAAGCTTCGCCTCTTCGTTTTATTACTCTATGCATACAAGTCTCATCCTTATTCCTTTTGGAAAGAATAAGTAAAGCTGGAAGGATACCGTTGTAAATCCTTTATGCGCTTTTTGAATTTAAAGTACTTAAAGTTACGTTTACAGTACACTCCCTTTAAATATACAATCTCTAGAACTGTTTTCTGTTGGTATGTATATTGTGATGTTTTGTTAATGTGGAATACAACAATTCATTAAACTTTACAAGTATTACATTTTTGCAAATACATTTATTTTTTGCAAACATATTTTGTTTTTGCAAACATAATGATTTTCTAAATATATTTACTTTTTGCAATCTTTTCTTATTGCAAACACATTTATTTTTTGCTTTTTTAGTTGCAAACATATCTATTTTTTAATCTCATTTAGTTTTTGCAAAGATATAAATTTTTGAAACATATTTAGTTTTTGCAAACATATTTAGTTTTTGCAAACATATTTAGTTTTTGCAAACATATTTATGGTTGACTCTACGGATTCCTAATTGTATATTCAAATCAGGATCTGAGGTCGTGACCAATCTTTTAAGGGTTACCCATAAAGGATTATACTATAATGTCGACCTTAAACTAAAATCGTCGATTATTTTTTAGTTGAAATCTAATAAATTTTCTTCATATATCTCTGCATCACAAATCCGCAATCAATTTACAGTTATAAATATTGAATATTGATCAGATACAGCTTGAAAGTTTACCATTGTGAATATGAAACGTTACTTTTCAAAATGTCGGAATACTTGAAATGACATTCGTACACTCTCTTTTTCTGACTTTAATTCCTGGTCTTTATTTTTTGGTCTGTAATTATTTGTTTTTATAAAACCTGGCTCGGCTCCCCTAGCTCCCCCAACTGGAGTCAGATGAGAGCCAATAAAACTCACAAAGAAATAATTCTCAATTTTGTTTTGACAAAAAATTGAATTCAAATTTTTCGAGTCGATATATTAATTTTTCAGTCTTTAAAGTGAATTTTATTACACGTTATCACGTCTTAAAATTTTAAATAATCTTCCCAACTTAACATCAAAATGTTCAAATTTTGGAAAATACATTTAAATGCATTTATACTTTTGAAAAAACGTTAATTAAAAAATAAATGTCTTATTATAGAAAATGTTGAAATTTGTAAACATCCTAGACATTTGAAATAATTTTACTGGGTTCCAAAAATTGTGCATTTGTAAAAATTTTAAAATGAAGAAACGTTTAATTAAAACAATTTATGCCAAGAACAATTTAATTTTTAACCCACGTTTTTTTAAGTAGCAATGTTTTTTTCTTCCTTCCTTCTCTCCCATTGTCGTGGAGATACAGAGTACAAGGTCTTCAAGTCATTAATACCCGCTTTATTGAGAAGACCCTGATGTTAGGTCATGACCCCCCTCCCCCCCCTCCCCAATCATCTTATTTGTAAAAATCTTCTCTCTTAGATTTCTTTCAAAACATAACACACGCACAAATGAAATCAAGGAATTAAGTTTTCGCAACCAACTCTATTTTTCTAATTCTATCTTTACAATTTAAAATTTCAAGAATAGGAATTCTGTTATGTAAGTTTAAATATCGAATGTTTACAACGTCAGGATAAAAAGATATAGAGAAAATTTGAGTTTCTGGCAAAAACTCAATATCTTTGCAACCTGAAGCCGTTAGCGTGCATTATTATAAACTCACAGAACAAATATCCTAAGTTTTAGATATCAAAAGTGTAAACCATCAAGCTGCAAAGATATAGTTTAATGAAAATTAGGAATTTTCTGCACAGAAACCGTCACACTCCTCACACCAGGATTTTTTCTTGAAATAATAAAAATATGATACGCTCATTGCACACATTTTGTTGAAGGACAGGAGAGAAGGTTAAATACTAATATTAGGTGAACTAGAAAATATAAAGAAATTGTCCCTGCTCATTTAAAGATATGAACGGAGATCAATTTGAAATCGTCCAAATACATGAGATCCAAAAGCGAAAGAGAAAAGGCAAATTGAAGTATAAATATTATACCCAACCCCATTGGTTTTCGATTAAACAAATCTACGCCTCCCCCATATCTTTCCCCCCATTTCCTTCCCCCCCCCCCTCTCTTAGAAGGTAGAACACAATTGCACAATCTAATAATCGTGAAATATTGAATACACAAAGAACACACCTCTTTTTAGGAACCAGGGGCTAATTTCAGACCAAATATGAACCCCCTCCCCCCTTCTTTCGTTCATTGTGTTAATCAGTTCTGTAAAATATGGTTTCTTAAAAGAACTGTCGTTATTATGTCTGATTTACAATTCGGTATCCTTATAATCTTTGTCTGAAAGATATCACCGTTTTCCTAGCTTATAAGGTGTTTATTTCTCAATATTATGTCAATTGTTTCTGTACCAGAAATCCTCAAGTCATACCTTTTACATGAGAACCTATAATTGAAAATAATAAAATTTTAAAGTTAAAAACCATGGATATCTCATTCAGTCAATATCATACAAAGTTTTAAATGTTACCGTTGTGAATCGATAAATCCACTCTACGAATGGAGGGTCACTTAAGTAAGACTGCGTACAGTCCCTTTTAGACGATTTAAATTCCTTAACACGTCAAATTATTCTGAAAAGATTTACATGAAAATGTTTTATCCAAGAGAGATGTTATCAATTCATAAAACATGGATCCGATATTAATTCTTGAATAATATTTACATTAATTTGAATAAAATTTTATTACTTTGCATAATTATAGATAATTATGGTCTAGAATACTAGTACATTGAAGAATATTTAAGACTCAAAGATTATGGTCAAAAAAAAAAAAGATGAGTCAAAAAATGCTTTGTCTGTGGATTAGATACCAGTACCACCTAAAACATGTTTTATAGCAATCAACAAAAACAACAAAAAATATTAAAAACCAAAAATCCAGAGGCAACATTTTCTTCACCCCCCCCCCCCCCCCCC